TCTTCCTCTCTGTTCTTACCATCCACCTTTGTCCCAAACTCCCTTCGGGGGCCTCCCTTCCTTACTGTGTGGCTAGCAGCCTTTCTCAGTTGCCACTTCTGAGATTTGGGGGCTTGGTGGTTCTACTGGCAAGAGGCTTAGCGACATTTTTTTTTTTTTTTTTTTTTTAATCTGCTCAATGCCAGAAGGGCTAGCAATCATGGCAATCATCTCTCCAGTATCCCCTCCCGAAGTTTATACCAGGCTGGGTCAGGCAAATTTTTCTGACCATCCCTTGTTCAGCAGACAGCCAATGGGGGTAGGGAGGGGACCTGGCCTCAACTGTTCCCCCGAACCCCAGCCTTGTTCTGGAGCAAGTTAAGGGGAGAGGGAAGAGATTCTTAGTGATTGGAACCTGCGCAAGGAGATAACAGGCCACCAGAAACAAGAATCTTGGCATCCAAGAAGCATAGTCATGTTGCTCCAGACTGGGCTGGTGGCTCGAGGTCAGAGAAACATTGAGGACCACAGCTCATCACCTGACGGCCACACCCAGGGCCGTCGAGTGATGTCACACAGTTAAGGCTGTTTCGTCTGGAAGCCAAACCTTGAGTGCACCCTCACCTGGCACCCAGCATGAAGTCTTGTGAGGTGTATCGTGGGGTAGCTGGTGGCACCTCAAAGGCACAGGCTTTTTTCAGACATTCCCCCCCCCCCCCCCCCCCGCGTGCTAGGAAAGCTTTCAAACGCCCTCTTTTGTTCTTCTTAACCACATCCAAAGTGTATAGGAGATACACCCTCCCTGGGTGAAATCCAGATAACATAGGGTCTTTCTCGTCCTACATTATCCCAGGTTTCCCTTCCCCAGATTAAGAATCAGGTCTGAGTGACGCTAACACCTTATCCATCCACCCTTCCCAGGGCAGCTGGAGGACAACCAAGGTCTTGAGAAGGACTCCCCCTGGCGGCACAGGCCTAGCAAACGCACGTCAGGGCTCTGAGTCTCTTTCTCGTTGCTTTCTCTTTGGCCTAGTTCCATGTTCAGGTTACCGGGTTGAGAGGCGTTTCCTCCAAGCGTTCGGCCACTTCAGTTGCCTGAGTATCTAGAAACCAAATGTGGGACGGGGGCTGGGATGATGAAGTGTGTATTTCAAAGGAAGCCCGTGTTTCCCTGGCTCAGGGTCCCCCGTGGGCTCCTTGCATCGGGGGCAGGGCTATGGGAATGACCCCTAGTGCTCATCACAGCACCCTGCTCAAGGCATGAGCCCAGAATTCCTGTAGAGACTCCTCCAGTGTCTCTGGGTGCCCCTGTCCATTCCCCGACTCGGCTGTCATTGCCCACCTGAGTGTCAGTGCTGTCCCTGATACCTTCCAGAAGATTCTATTAGAGTCTTCTGCTCTTCACACCCTCCCACTGGCTCCTGCCTGTCCTCTGTGTCTGCACTTTAAGAAAGTATTTGCTACATAATCCCCAAAGGGGTCACAAGCCACAGGTTGAGAACCACTGAGCTAGGGGGGAGGAGAGGAGCGCAGAGGGTACCCTGAAAGGTCAGTTAGGTCATTGTTTACTGACCTGTGTGACAATCATCCACCCATCGTCCTCCCATCCATCTATCCCTCCTCCCTAGCTACCCACCCATCCACTCACTCTGTCATCTCTCCACAACACATCCTCTCTTCCAACTACTTCTTGCTCGGTTTGCTCATCAGTGTGTAGAAGCCTTGCTGGCTCGCACACTGTCCAGGGAAGCCTTTGAGAGGGTAACGGCTGAGCTGAACTCTGAGTGAAGAGCAAGGACCACACGTACGAGGTGGGCGGGCACAGAGAACAGCAAAGATGAGAGCAGGAAGCCCTCAGCAGAGGACACAGGGTTACAGATCACCGGAAGACGACATGAAACCAAAATGGCCATCGAGGGGCAGATCAAAAAAGGCTCGAAGGCCACGGAGGAGTATGAGTTGTGTCCTATGTCTTCACACTTGCCAGGCTAGCCCTCTAAGTTACAACATTAATCCCACTGGAGTGTTTTGAACACAGAGTTTACATGGTCTGAATAGCCTTATGTTTGATGAAAATTCGTATTTACTCTCTCTGTGTGTGTGTGTGTGTGTGTGTGTGTGTGTGTGTGTGTGTGTGTAGTCGAAGAACAATCTGTGGGAGCCATTTTGCCAGCCTTAAATACATTTTAGATACTTAATTTTAAGCTATTAAAGTGACAGATACTCAGGTGCTGGAGAGAGGGTTCAGCAGATAAGAGCACTGGCTGCTCCTGCAAAGGACCCAAGGTTGGTTCCCAGCACAACTGTGTGCAACTCGTGAGTACCACATGAAAATAAAAATAAACGAATCTTAAAAGCTGCCAGTGCTGCAGTGAAAGAAATACAGCATATCAGGCAAAGCCTTCTCTCCATCTCCCTGCTGCTGGGGCCACTTGCAGAGACCTCCTGGTCCATCAATCACCCTGGGTGTTCGATACTGCTCCTGTGTCTAGTCAGCTTGCTCTGGTGAAAGCCCAGGGCAAGCTCTCTTCACACTACCAATCTACGTGGGTGCTAGGATTTGAACTAGAGTGCTCGTGGCTGGCTGCCCAGAGCCCTGTCCCCCAGCCCCGGAACATTAATTTTTACCAAGAGCCTTCCAGCTGTTGAGCAGAGGTGAGTCAGCTCAGGCCTCTAGTTGGAGACACGGACCTGCGCGTGCAGGCTGGGAAGAGGAGTGTGCGATGACAGCCGTTCACGGCACGCACGCTCACATTTCTGCGGGCCTCCGAGCACTGCGGTGTGGTCGCTCGTCTGAGCAGACGTGCCGTGGTTATGATCATGTGACTGTTATTACAGTTTTTCCTTATGACATCTGACACCATTCCATGTGTCCTTTTAATAATCTACATTTTTTTTTTTTTTAGTTTTACTCTCTGGGAGTTCCTTTTCTTTTTTTCTCCCTGTCCTCACCTGTCTCCCTACCCCTTCTTTCTCCCCATCTCTCCGTCTGTCTGTCTGTCTGTCTGTCTCTGTGTCTCATATACTCAGGCTAACCTCAAACCAGTTATCCCCCTGCCACAGCCTCCAAGAGGTAGAATTAGATTAATTTTAAATGGTCCTACTGACTGCTGGATAGACAACAGACATGAGAAACAAGGACAGGATCAGGGTGAAGGGCACTTAGAAAAACAGGCTCATGCCTTTAATCCCAGCACATGAGAGGCAGATCTCTGTGAATTTGAGGTAACCTAGTAGTCTACAAATTGAGGCCAGGACAGCTAGGACAGCCAGGACAGCCAGAACAGCCAGGACAGCCAGGACTACAAGACAAATCCTGTCTCAAAAAAAAAAAAAAAAAAACAACAACAAAAACCTAAGATGTAAGGGTAAGGCTGGGGAGATGACTCAGGAGTAAGACTGTGAGACCCTGCTGTGTGAGCATTTGGACCTGAGTTGCAATCCCCAGCATCTACACAAAAAGCCAGGCATAGCTACTAGTGGTTGTAACTCCAACAGTTAGGTGCAGATCCTAAGAACTTCTACTTTCCTTCTTTTTTTCTGTTCTGGTTTTGGTTTTGGTTTTATTTTGAGACAGGGTTTCTTTATGCAGCTCTGGCTGTCCTGAAATTCTCCCTTCTGTCCTAGAATTTGCTCTGTGGACCAGGCTGGACTTGAACTCAGCCAGCCTAGTCAAAATGGGTGAGTGTCTCCTTCAGTCTCTCTCCTCCTTCTTCTTCTGAGATAGAGTCTCACTACGTAGCCTTGGCTGGCCTCGAACTCACTATGTCAACCAGGCTGGCCTTGCACACACAGAGATCTGCCTGCCTCCTCTTAAGCGCTAAGATTAAAAGTATGCACCACCAGCTGGTCGGATGGTTGACCACAACTTTAATCCCAGCACTCAGGAGGCAGAGGCAGAGGCAGAGGCAGGTGGATCTCTGTGAGTACGGGACCAGCCTGGTGTACAGAGTGAGTTCCAGGACAGCAAGGGGTATACGGAGAGACCTTGTCTCACAAAACAAACAAG